AGAGCAACTGAGTGGCCTCCGTCGGAGGACATCTAGCAAGTAAGGCGGTCCAACTGAGCAGGCGTTAGAACTAGAAGCGGCTGTAGCTCGCTTCTCGCTCGCTGTGCAGACGAATAGAGTGGGACAGTCTCTAGCTTGGGGGCTGTACTACTTGCACAAGGAAGGACGACCATGTACTACTCGAGCGCGGGGGCTGTCTTTAATATGCCCAGGACGTAGAGTGGAGGTGGCATATCCTCGCTTGCATGCAGAGATTGCACGTAGGAAAGAAGCTCTTGGATGCAGCATAAGCAAAAGGGTTGCTCAAGTAGTTTGATGTGAAAAGGGACCGCGCCTCATGAATGTCAGAAATAGCTGTGGAAGAGCGGCCTCCAAGTACGGTTTTCTGAGTGACCACTTTATTTCTTCCCAGTCAATATATCCTCCAAGAACAAAACAAAGCGACTGAGTTACTCACCTTCACTGAACTTTCTCAGGACTTTGAGAAACTCTGCGAATGTGATGACGTCGCTATCAGAATGTGTTGTGACGGCAAACATTCGTTGCACAAAAATATCCGTTTCCCTCATACCCATCGCCTGGGCGAGTTCGTACCTGAAAATTCAGAATTTTCAGGCGTTATTCGGCTTGGAAAGAGCATTTTGCATTTTCGATGGTTCCTTTTTTGGATTATGTTAAAGTAGGCAAATTCCTGTGTAACTGGAAAGTCATCCAGATGAACCGCTTCGGCCACAGAAATCCATAGTTTTTCACAAGGTAGCCTAGGTATGCGAGCTCAAACGGTTGTGAGTGCCATTCGGTGCCCCTACCAAGCCGAAGTGCACAAATATTCCGAAAGGGCCTGAATATTTGAAAAGAAGGTGGGGAAGAGGACCTGGTGATTGTCTGATTGAGGATATCGTCGCTGTCGTCTTCTCTCATCTCCGAATCGCTTAGCTTCGGTTGGTCGAATGCACGAGCGTAAGCCTCACGGAAGAAGTGATCCAAACGTTGCTGACGGCGATCCTGGCAAGTGCAAGGTCTTGAAGTGTGTTTCACGCTGGGCTTATTAAGATATTAAAACTCTCATTGTGGTACCTTTGTTTCAGCTTTTTCGAGCAGCACCGCGTTGGCCATCGGAATCGAAGTCACCTGTCCATCAAGCTTCTTCAACGAGAGAGTGAGCGCTGCTAAGAACTCCGGCAAGTGCTTATCAGACGGAAGACGAAGGACCTAGAAATTAGAGAAAACACATTGAGTATTTGCACCGTACATGGAGTTCCCCATAAAACTAGCACTATTGAGCCCTTGGTTTTCAATGATAAGCCGAGTGATACTCACCAAATCATAGGTTTTTCTGAGTTTTATCAAACAGTACGGTCCATGAACTGTCGAGGCATTTGGCTCGCTATGCAGAACAGTTATCTGAAACGCATTGGTGTATTTTATCACGAAATTAATGAAGAACATGAGAGATACGGTACTCGGTGTTTATCTCTTTCAACGTTGTCGTTGTGTAATGCATTCAATCACTCATATTTAAAAAAATAACATATTCCACCACGTGCTAGACTTGCAATAATCTTTTGACGTGAATGACTCCCGATTAAGTACTCCGCAATTTCAGCTAACAAAAGCATAGCCTTTGCAGCTTTGGTAACGGGACTGGCTGGCATAACATGGGCACCAAAACCCAGTTAAATGAAACCCCTATTGACGCAAGCAAGTCCAGCCATCCTCACCGAGGATGAACCCTTGGCCGATGAGATATTTTCCAAATTCCTGAGATGTTGTAGGCGTGGCTAGGTATTTCAGTTGGGCGAAGCGGCGGCTGCGTATCCAATGAAAAATTTTCATCTTGTGACAATTGTAGTCAAATTTTTGTCCAGTGCAACAAAAGGTGACAAGTATCCCAAATCAAAAACACCACGAATAACCCATCCTGCGCCATGTCCGAATGAAATACGCGGCCACACTCGCTGCGTCTCTACATAGAATGTGGAGTATACACGTACCGTAATTATGAAGCTAGAGGTTCAGATATGAAAATCTAGCTGCTGACTGACTGACTTTCCAGCAAGAACGGGAGCAGAAGAACCCGTAGAGAGCATCACACAGACTAGCATAACTGTCGGAGCAGTCTGTGTTCAAGAGAGAGAGAGAGAGAGAGAGAGAGAGAGAGAGAAGAGAGAGAGGGAGAGAGAGAGAGAGAGAGAAGAGAGAGAGAGATTTTTTCAACGTTTCGGACAGTCGCGTAAGCCATAGCAAGCAGTGAAGGTGTGAGGCTGCGTTCATACTTCGCGGTAGCGTACGCTGGCGTACCGTGCCGCAAAGTATGAACGCAGCCAAAACAATGTGTGACTGCGTACGTCCGCTTGGCAGGGTTTCTACGTCCGCGTACGTCCGCTTGGCAGGATTAGGCGAATGGCATGAGTCTTTGACTAGGCTTAGCTGCTTGGAGCCCACTATATTTTTCATTTGCCAAAGTTCAGATAATTCACATACATTCCAGGTTTTTTATCCATGAGCCAAGCTGTTGAGCGAAAGCCCACCTGCGCGTTTTCGGGGAAAATCATTTTCCTCAGTATCGGTCCGCGTGGTTTCCGAAGCGTTAGGGTTCCGGTTGAAAACTCGACAATCACTTGACGAACATAACATTCCTGAAGCCATTCGAAAGCTGAAATGACCGCTCTTGCTGGGTTTGGATGAAAAAGGTTTTTGTGGATGTAATAAAGATTTCAAGAATTTTTACCTTGTATGTGATAGCGATCATTCGGGCCATCGTCATCAATTGCCGTGGCGGACAGGTCGTCGAACGAACTGTCCCAACCCATTCGGCGACGTCTTTGAACGAGTACGTAACCGATGCCGAAGCAGACTGCAATGTGAATATTTTGATTCTGGTCACATCTTTCGCCAGCAGGCAGGTTGCCAAGTGTATTGGAACTCACTCAGTGGAATACATCCCAGGCCGATGAGTGTGAAGATGTAGGTGACTTCGTTCCCTGTGAAGTGGTCGAATCGCATGAAAGGAACGCACTCCTCAAGTCCTGAAAGGATTCTCCGGATAAGACGGACAGAAAATACAACAGAGCTAGAGAAGTGTCGCCCAATAACGGGAAGGACCGTGAGGCTTCTACTGACTTGAACGGTCACTATTTTTCAAGAGAATGTTTGTACCGGGTCTCAATATTCAGCTCACCTGTAGCATTCACTTGGAACGGCTGCGGGCACGGATCACCGTCTTTGAAGAAAAACACCTCAAATAGCAGGTTATTAGAGAAGAAACGTGGTTTTCAAGATACCCAGAGCAAAAAGTATTACGTCTTTCTGCAACCACTGGTCTGATATTTCAGTGGTTTCTCGGATGATGTCCCTCAGAGTGATGTTGCGAATCTGTTCGATTTCCTCATCGGTGAAGAGACCGTTCTGTTTATTCTCGAACCAAAACCTGAAACAGGGTTCGGTCATACTAGGCGAACAAGTTGGTGGAAAAGAAGGCGGGATCTTGAGAGGATGGGTAACCGTCATACTCAGAGGAACGTACCTGTCCGAGTCTCGAAGCCTTTCAAATTGGTCCTTAATGATCGCCTTGAACAATTCGCCAGGTCCATTGTCTACCTCGAGCATTCCGCCAACATACGCGTCCAAATAGGCGATATCGCCATAAAGCTCTTCAAGCTTTTTGAACATCTGAAAATGACTAAGTTTATTTAGACTACCATATTAACGGGGTGGAGGTGGTGTAGTGGCACTGGCAGCATTTGACAGGCACGGTCGGGCGGAAAACCTGCACCCGCACAAGCCAGCCGAACCTTTCATTCTTAAAGGCAGAATTCGCTATCGGCTAGCAAAGAGAGTTGGTCGGTAGCGGTGTTAGAAACAGAAGTGCATGTGGTACCCGGCTCGCCTGTGAAGAAAAAGGGGATAAAACCATTAGAATTGCTAAAATAAGGCCTGCATGTGCCAAGCGGGTAGATAAAGATTTGATATGGATATCTATAGAGAGGCCAGTAAAAGTAGCGAGAGAGCATGCAAATGAGCAAGACAGCAGATAAGACACATCTATCAAAGTGGGCGGAGTCACTTGGGCAACTTCTGCCTTGACGCCGCTCGCTACCTTATCACTTTCTAACGTTGAAACTTTACAGTGTTGTTCGTTTTAGTTCACACTATCTTTCCCTACGGAAAGCTCAGATAATTATTAGTGATCGTGGGCTCTGGTCTACGAGAGCCACTGTATGGGTCTCACAGCTACCTCTACTCTAGATGGAAGTTCATTGCGCGACACATACAAAAAGAAGATGATCAGCTCTAGGAGCTCAATTCGTCTTGTTTGCCCCAGCGTTCGAAAGCGTAAGCCCTCTCGAATTTTCAAATCTTCAGAGAATTCTCCATACTCAGAGGAAGCCCATTTCCCCAAAACTGTGGCTAAGTGCTGACTGAACCAGTTCGCCACCAAAATTCGATTTTTACAGGTCCCAGTTTATTTGGAACGACATACCGTTTTGTTGGTTTGGTAGAGTGTTGGGTTGATCGTTTCCCAAGTCTTCTCGGGCAGGTTGAACGTTTTTCTCAGTACATTATATGATGGAAGACCATTGTCACGTCCTCGCATAATGGACGAGGCAACCACATCCAATCGTGTGAAGTGCATTGGACCAAAGATAAAGTCTGCAACGATTCATCAATCGTTAATTAACACCCGTCCCTTGCTCCCCTCCTTCTACTGCCCATAACCTGGACATAGGGAGGGCGTGGCTGCATGCTGCATACTTCAAGTAAACATGGCGTAAGGTGCCTTTCTCGTACGATTTTTCGATTGAGACAACTGTCATCTTACCTTCTGTTGAACAATGCCCGATCAAATTATCCTGCAACGGCAACATCCTCAGCAGAAGCTCAGCGGTCACACTTAAATCAAGTACGCAGCCACGCCCTATCCATCTCCGGGTATCTCCTGGACCCTGGACATCTCCTGGACCGTAAGGAATGTTTTTGTATATTCACCTCGTAGATCCTCCACAACAACAATGTCATCAGCCTCGCTGACCTGAGAAGCCATTCCGAGAATGATTTCATCTACAGAGTACTCCTGGACGATGTCCTGGGCGTTCCACCTAAATTAGAAAAGATTGTTCCGAAGCCGGAAATAGCTACTAAACTGTACTATTGGAACAATGCATTACCAGTTCTGACAGAGACGAAGAGCCGGGAATCCTCCAACTTCTTCACGGAACTCGCAGGCATTCACATTTTTGCGGAGTATCATTGCTGGTGGCACCTGAGGAACATTGCTACATTGTTCGCTTACAGAACGGAAGGCCACAGCTGTACTCAACAAAGAACTGGAACTCACGATGCTATGCGGAAATCGGAAAGCGGCAGCGGCAAATGCATGTGAGATGCCCGGAGGCACGTGTGGCATGTACTTCGTGTAGGGCTTTACCTCTTCGTTAATCAGAGCGGGAAGGAAATCGTAAAAGATGATTTTCTGGAAGTAAAAGGTTTCTAATCAGCTTGTTCAAGTCAACTCTCGCTGAATTCTGAGCCCTCTAAGTCAAAATGCCTCTACTGCACGAGTTTAATGCAAAAATATCTATCAAGCATTTCTAGCAAGAATACCTGAAGCGTAGCAATCAGCCATCTTCGAGCGGCTTGAAAGAGCTCTTCATCAGTCCAGTTCGGATGCTTCTCTTGCATTCTGAAATCTCATCGCTGAGGCATCATTTAAGACCACAAATTAAGGGATGCCTCCCGACCAGGGTCACCCAGCCTCCAAGGGGATCGACATGCATGGAAAGATGTGCCGCCGGGCTTTTTGGTAATATTGATGATGCTTTTATCCAGTGTTTTGATCTATTTCTGTTCTGGCTGTCAGGTTTTATCAAAGCCTCGGTGCCTTCGAGACAAAGGTTGAGGGATCTTATTGAGTCCGGTCACTCCAGAGGTATCAGTTAAAGAAATTGAAAAGTAAATGATATCAGAAGACCTGAGCAGCTGATGGCGGTATCCGCGGCCGTATTGTCCACATCAAGCGCGTGGCGATGATAAACCCTCCTCTTAGAAGAACTCCTGCCAATCACCTTCCTAATGTGTTTCGAAATACCCCTGGCGCAGCTTCAGCGTATTCTTATCCGGTTGACCCAGCAC